CTCCCAGACCCCGGACAGAACTGGGCCCCCCCCAACGGCTCACGCTCCGGCGCAATGCCCGTGAAGATCCGGATGCGGCTCGTGACCGCCTGTGACCCAACCACGACACGGTCTGGGACTACCAAGACGGACGGACCGTGAAATGGCCAGGGGTGGTTTGAGGACTCGAGGCCATGGCGTGTAGGCATGGGAGATGATGTCCAACAGTTGTGCATCTAAGACCCTCCAAAAGGTTTCCAAGGTGATCGTTGGAGCTGATTTCCCAACATGCATTTAAGAAAAGCATGACCAATGGAAAAAGTCTTTCATCACCGTTGGAGATTATTAAATGGTGGCTTTTTCCCACAGATCTCCAAAAGTCTTTCTTTGGATGAACAGTCAACATGACCAGCTCGTATGACTCAGTGGCTGTCACTGGCTGCGGTATGTCAACGCCTGCACTTCGGTCTCTCTCAGCTCCGGTCTCCAGCATCTGCCTTGACACACACGATCAGCAACATGGCCAGGAGAACGAAGACGGAAATATTACAAAGGATCGGCTGGCTGTAATGAATCTGAAAGGAGCAAAGGCCTGAGTCTGCGATCTGCTCGGACACAATCAGTTAGGTGCCTTCCCCTCGAAGGCGGAGAGACAGTTTGTGAAAGAGAGTAAGAATCCTCATGCTAGCATCATGCTATTAATACAACAACAGATTTCTCAGAATACTCAGCTATTAATACTCATGCTACTCATCATCATTATTAATGAGAATGACTTGAAAATCTGTTGATGGGTCACCTCCCCGGAAAAGGGCACGAACACAAACACCACAACTCATCTGCTCCAGCGACCAAAAGAGGTGGCCAGAGCGGCTCGGGCGCCCGGTATGCTAACAGTGGCTAAGCCCAAGTGAGTCAAGTGAGACCAATTGAATAAGGTCAGGCCCAAACATCATATCAAAACAGTTTGAAACATCATATCAACTAAGCATATCCAACTGGCTGCGAGGTGAAAACAAGCTGGGCCATGCTCAAGGAAGGCATCAGCCGTCCAATGAGCCAAGCTTGGTCTTGGATTCGAGGACGACCTGACAAGCCTTCGGCCTTCAGACAGGCGAAATCGGGGGAAATGTTCTCTGAGCGAATCTCACATCAGCAGAAGGAAAAAGAACGCGTCATGTCAAAAAAGGAGGCATGACACACATAACAGTACATAACAGCACCATGGAGGAGAGAGCGCCATGGAGGAGAGTAAAACCCTATCCCAATGACCAATGACCCGATGATTCCCAGTTAACATGGTGCTTTTCTTGGTCGAGTCCAGGTCGTAGGCAAGGCGGATCGTCTGAAGTGTTGACACGAGCTCGTGGCCAACAAGAAGCGTAGCAACCTTCTATACAGTATATATTACTATATCCTATTCTTATTTCTTTACTATATATATATATAATACACATATATATTGTATTATATTGTTATTGCTGGTGGGCAATGGAAGGATTCTATGGCCAAGGTCAAGGTGCTATACACCAGCACGAAGAGCGCCCAAGGCACCAAGGAGCACCTAGGCATCAAGCAAGAGTGGGTGAGTGAGTGAGATAGTGAACGCCAAAGTACATGTACAAAGAACACAAACAAGTATGACCAAAAAATATGAATGAACAAATGAACACATCATATATAAATATAAATATATAGAATACGGAGCATGGAAATCTTTCCTCTTCAGCAAACCTGAAGCGGATAATTGCGGATAATATATGGATTCCCGCACGTGCCCTCGCATTGTGCTTACACAACTAGAACGCTGCAAAACAAATGTTCATTCGATCTCTTCATGCGGACTTACCCACTCTGCACACCTCTCAACGCGAATAGCGCACCTGATCCTAGAGCACTCCAACCACTCGACCCCTTACAGGCTGACCCCTCCCCTCTGGAAGCCTGAACTTTTGCTTGGGGCTGGGTTGTTCCAAAAGGCACAAAGATTTTCGAAGAGAAATGCAACAAACCTACCTCAGTCCCAGCTTTTGGCTTTTGGAAGATTTTTCTGTTCCGGCAAGGCACACAACGAGGGGCACGAAGTTCATCTTCCGCTTGGGGAGCGGGAGCCAAACTCCCTTGCTGAAGGCTTGCAAGGCATCGTAGCCTCATGGTTGCTGGGGCTGCATTCGGAGTTTGCAAACTGATGAAGGAAAACACATCAACTCCCTCTTCCACAAGCCTGGCACCAACCGAAGTGGGATTGGTTGGACAAGCCTTTCCTTCTACTATGTAGGCCCTTGGATTGCTGCCTAAGGGGTGTTACCTGCCATGTTCGGTGGGGCAAAAGAAGATTAATCTGGCCAGTGCGGCTGGAATCTGCAAAAGTAGACTCATGATTTGCATATATTTGCATATTTGTTACCTCTACATACTTGTAGCAATATTGAACCCTCACCCTGGCCTGTGACATTCAATGATGATGCATATGATGAATCAAAAGCCCAAGGAAAGAATGACAAAGGCAAAACCACTCACGGCATCGTAGAGGTGGGGGCACCTACTGGGGCACCTCTACTGGCACCAAAACATGGCCAGAAACATCACGACGGGTGGTTAATGGACACCCCTTAACATCTAAGGAAGGGGCTATCAAAAGAAGCCCCTATTAGGGTGTCTTGGTACTCAGTACTTGAGGCTCTTGAAGCCCCTCAATTTCTACCCATAACATTGGTCGACTTCCCTGTGAGAACTATATTAAGCCCCCTCCGCTTTACTTTTGCGCAGACTTTGCTTGCAGCAAGCAGCCTCCAAACAAGCCGCGCTGTTCAGCAAAAAGGTTTTGCCTCAGCACGGCTCCCCGAGCCAATCGGAGAAGAGGCGTGGGGCCCGTGCATAGGAGTGAGACAGAAGAATCAATTCGTTTGCCTTGATCTGGGTGTGTAGGCTTGAGATGTCTCCTGAAATCCCAGCATCTCCGGCATCTCAGCTCCTGAAATGCATCTCACCTAGTATAACAAAACAATCCATGACAGCATCGTTCGAACATGGGGGGGGAAATCATTGGACCACGAGAGACCTGAGAGAACTCCCAACGCGACCGAAAGTGCGGCACATGATGCACATGTTGCTTTGCCACACCCAGACACAAGCCATGGGACTGCCATATATATATATGCCACCCCGTTGACCCCTCTGGCACCACCCCAATGTCTGGGACAAGTCGTGGCATATAAAATAGATGCACAGCTTTATGCACCAAAAACTCACGTCTCTCTTCATCGTCTCTCCATCCAGGGCGCTGTTCCGGGTACGGGTTCATTTCCTAAGACTTCGGTGCCGCGAGCTGATGGAGCTTCACCGAAATCATCACGAGCGGCATCGACACCGGCAAAGGACACGCGCGTGGAGGACCCGGAAACACCCGCCCGGACTCGCCGAACGTCCAGTGCAGGTCTGAGGATGTTTTGGTGAGACTCGCCTTGATCCTGAAGTCCACTGATTTTCGATCTGCAGAGTGGGACTGGCAGTTGCGCTATTAACAATAAGTTAGAAGCTGAGATGCTTCAATCACACCTGTGCAACGTGTTTAACAGTAGAACACTGAATCGGCTATATTATGTTAATGCAATTTATAACGATGAACACGGTAAACCATGACACCGGTGCGTACTTCAGAAACCAAAGAATAGAACGTGTCATGTAATTGAGAGGCACCTAAGTGTCACGACACGGCGCAGGTCCCCCCGCTCCTTGCGGTCATTTGAGTTCATTTGGGACTCGGTGTAGTTTCATATCCCAGACACGACCCATGGGACTGCCATAGATGCCGCCCCATTGACTCGCCTGGCATCACCCCTGGCCTGATCGGCAGTCCTATGGCAGTCCCATGGGTCGTGTCTGGGTATCGAAATGGTTTTCTAAGGGATTTCAAGGGCCCCCAGTGTCACACGCTCCACTGCTTCGAGGTTCGGATAAGTTACACGGAGAAGGACTGCGAGGTAGTGATGCAGTGCGAGAGATATTTCCTGGGCGCAGTGTAGGACTACCGGCAGTTGGCATTCTGTTGTGGGGATGGGGGGGACCTAGGGTCCAAACAACAAACAGGGAGGGTCCAGCAACACAATCCTTCGGCACTTGAAGGCAAACAACTGGAGTAAGCAACATCCGCGGAGTGGTTGGAGGACATCATGGTTGGGTTCCACTCGGGGTATCCAGAAAAACACATGTGAGAGAAAACCTTCGACATTCCTAATCTTGACCGTGACAGCTCCAAGACTCCAAGAATATAAGAATGATCTTTGCAGACTTCCCTTGGGGTCTTGGAGCTTGCAAGCCATTCTTAACAAGACTTACCAGCTCCAAGACTTGCCAGGGGTCTCTTGGTGTCAAAAGAGTTTAATCAAAGAGTATCTGCTTGCAAGCTAAGAATCGCTAAAGCGGATGAGACAGCAGAGTGCAGGAAGATAGATCACTCCCGTCTTGAGCCGAGATAAGTGAATTCGCTGCATTGGGTGACCGTCAGGTGATGGAAGGGTGAAGGAAGGATGATGCTCTCGGTCATGGTCATCCTTCACCAAGCAGTTCGAAACTTCGAATCGGCAGGGGTCGACCACGTCGGTTCGAGCGGCGAGGGGTGACTACGACTTCGGCGTTCGGATGACAAAGCATGGTGAGGTTGGCTAAGTCGAAGTCACCACAATGAGACTTCGATAAAGCTCTTCGATATACACCAAATATTCAAGGTCCTCACCACGGAGGAAATTGAGCAGCTCTAGGATCTATGGGGTGGGGTCGGTCTTATAGTTAACAATCTTCAAGCAAATATGGTGCCAACAGATTCACTGTCCTGAATCGGCCCCAATGGGTCCAGTTTAAGAAAATCACAAATAGTAGATACAACATGATACAACCACTGGTTGTTAAAACCAAAGCAAATGGCAAAACCCTCAAAAGGTTCCAAAATGGGTAAAGATAGGAGATCGCACCATCTACACTCAAATGCCTTCTAAACGAATCGCAGGCATGAGGTCCCCGGCAGTTCAAACAGGCGGTCCGCAAGTTGCGTGAGAAGAAGTCCGCTGCCATCTGCTTCCAAAGGAACACCTGTCGTTGGCCCAGCTCGGTCCCCTGGATGGAATGGCGTGAGCTGTTGGAAGAGTGTTTCATGTGGCTCTACCACATCTGGCCGGCTCCCTGAAGCAAGTTGTGCTCTCGTTGAGGTCTCACAGTCTGAGAAGCAGCAAGCCCACCACGAGGCTTCATGAGGCCTAATGACACACGTGGCTATGGATGATGATGCAAGGACAAGGTGGTGGCTCAATTGCATCGAGTTTGGCACATGTGTGCAGTCGAAGTTAATCAATTTTTACAGTATCTGGCTGTTTCTGTTCGATCTGGGGTGTTGAACAAACAGTTAGAGGGGCACACGGGCACATGCTGGATTTGTCCAACACAAACAGGTGTTGCGCCTGTTTCGGCCTCAAGTTGCCCCTGAACTGACTAGTGCTCATGGCTGGAAGGCCATCAACTACTGAGATGTTCCAAGGGCACCTGCTTCTGGACATCGCCGCGCTTCTCGGTTTCCATCAGGAGGGTCTGATAGTAGCGCCTGAACATGGAATTCGTGCAAAAATAGAACGCGCTCAAATCTAAGACTGGTTGACCCAGAAAAAAGAGAAAAATCAACAATGAGACAATGAGTCACTAAGTTCTCCTGACGGCCAGACGGTGAGAATGTTGCCGATGTTACCCAGAGTTTGGAGTTTCGAAGTCCCACGTTTGCCATTCCTTCATACCTAGATCTTCAGTCCGGCACTTTCTTTAGACTAAAGGAGGATCCAGGTATCTGGCCGAGACATTCCCAATGCCTCCCGAAAATACCGTTTCTGGGGCCAGTGCTGCCGTCCATCTACGGCATGCTTCTTGGTGTAGCCGGTTTTGCCGTGCTCCGGGTGACGGCCATCACTCAGGGTTCGAACCTGGGCAAGGGCAGCGCATTCGGATGTGCGTCTGGCCGCATGAGGCATCCACAAAGTATAGCAGCTATAGCAATGTGATCATTAAATTAATGCATAGGTTCAAATAGGTTCTGGATTGAGTGAGTGAATAGGCCCGGCTTGCTAGAGAAGCCTAGTGGCCTCCAATGAGAAAGGCACACAGCATGCTCATTGCTCATGGATGTTCCGTCCAATGTGGCGAACGTATGACAAGGCCATTCTGCATGCAGCCCAGGCGCAAAGAGAATCCACGCATCATGAAAGCGACCTGGGAGTGCAAGTCAAGGCCCCTTTTCGCAGTCAAGGCGAGGTTAGGCTCTCATAACATTAGGAGTTGATCACCTCATTACCTTAAGGCTTTAAAGACTGGGACTACGCTTCCAAGTCTCTTCCAGTAGCTCCGTGGGCCCCCTGCCTTTACTGTCCACCCGACCCACCGTACCGAAAAGCAGGCACCGCTTCGGCTCTGCCAGCGAGGCACCCATGCGCCAGAGCGACCACACCACTTGCGCGGCGCCCTCCGAGTCCAGTCGGATCCGGAGATCCAGGAGGGCCTGGGAGCGACCACCGCGGCGAACGAACGACCGATCCGGACACCACGACCCAAGGACGGTAGACCAGGACCCAAGTGAGCTTGCCTCACTTCGAAACATGTGGCGGCAACCCTGTGTAGCCTTACTTTTGGATACTTTTGGGAGGGACAAGAAGAGGACTTCCTGTGATTCAGCTAGCTAGAGGGAATATGGATGAATAGGGAACGTCATAGACCATCTTTAAAGTCAAGTTGAACATGTCGCTCTTCAAGGAACATGAATTGAGGACACCTCCCGTGACAAGCTTCCATCCTCCACGGGTGTCAATTGGTGACTCAGGCATGTTCACAGAAATTCAGGGCAAGCGGCCACCATCAAGCTATCCTTAGTCCGAGATTGAGAAGGTGTGGGGCCCCGCTCGTTACAAGTGCGCGGTGCCTTGAGAGGTTCGAATCTTGCCGTGAAAGAAGCAGGAGATTTGTAGCACAACAGGATGCATTCTATACATCTCCCTCGAATCAGCGATGTCTTCAGGGACACGTTCTTTCAAAAGGAGGCACCAGGGCACCGGTGGACCATCTCCCGGGCTTGTCAATTGCAACGAACCAGCCGCCGTGAAATGCTTCAAAAGGTCCAAACCCTCAGCTTTCCTCACTGCGGGCAACATGATCCGAAAAGCAGCCAACACCCCGTGAGTTCCTGCCTTCACTCCCTTGAAAGCCTCACAACCACGGCATCGCCGCAACACATGCAGCACGCGCTCCTTTTTGGTCCACTCCGACACGTCCCGGGCGCGCGCAGGCCCTGGTCTTCGTGGATCGCTCGGCGCGGGCGCCGTCGACGCCGGTGACGTTGGTGCGAGCGAGGCCGGCCATGGAGGTGTTGTCAGCGAGGTGGAAGCAGTCGGGCTCAGGTCGGAAGCCTGAAGTTCCAAGTGCGGAAAGCCATGCGAAAACGGTGACCAACACCTTGCACATCATTGGGCCCCTTCTTGGGAATGGCATTGTACATCATTGTACTAAGTACTAAGATGTACTAAGTTATATATACTGTACAAGCCCAAACCGACTGCGAATCCTCCACACCAAGCAGCGAGGGCACCGGACCCCATGAGGCTGGCCGCAAAGATCTGCAAAGGTAGAAAAGCCTCATCCAGTTTGAGAGTCTGCGTGTTGACCGTATGGAATCCACACCACACATCATCAAGCCATGCCTGTACCAAAACCATCCAAAACCCAAATCCGTGACCATGTGACGAAATCGGTTGTTTGATGAGCACTGCCACCCCCAAAAAAACAACAAGCTTTTGAATGCCTTTGGGCCTTTGACGCACCCTCACACCCCTGACGCTGCGCCGCCCCCTAAACATCATCAACAGTGGTCACAAAATGTCACAAACACAGTTTTTATAATCTCCCTGCTCCACACCAGTTCCTCTGAAATCCACGCTTCGGCACGCGGCCCCCCCCAAAAAAAGTCAACTGGACCTTACTATGTGCACCCAGTGTAACACCCAACATGCTTCTAAATGGATGATGGACATCTCTACAACATGAATATTAGTCAATGACTGACCCTGTGTTTCACAACCGATATCCAAAATCATTCTCATTTTCTCCCAATCGAGCCGATTTCCACTTCAGGATTGTGAGGAGTCCCTTGGATCGCCGACGGGCCGAGGTGCACGTAGGTGCTTTCCTTCTGCCTTCGCACCTCCTCGGCTGAGACTTCACGCACCAGGTCGTCGTTGTAGAGGTACCAGCGGCCGTCTTCGCCTAGATGCCGGACGCGTGGGACAGGTGGAATGAGGGACTGGGGGGGAAGGTGCTCCTATCTTACCAGGGAGCATCAACATTGGGTACATAGAAAGTGCATGCTCAACAGTAAGTTCCCTTCAAACATAAGTTGGAATTGGCGGACTGGAGGGTCGCACACTTTCTATGAGCACCACCTGGGAGCAAGAACTGCCACACTGATTCACGAAGTGCTGCTATTCACCGCCACTAGTAAGACACCCTGTGATCTGGCCAAGATCCAAGCCCCCAGTTCCGTCTTTTGGAAGCATAGCCTTCCCCTGGCACACAACAATACGGAAAATGGTATTGAATATTGGCACTCAAATCCTTGTAGACGGGTGTCTTGTGCCGACTCTTGAGAAAGAAATGCCTACTAACATCTCTGCCAGGATCGCTGATGATATCTTTTGTATCGGACCCTTACCCTCTGGCACCAAGGCGCATGAGCGAACAAAGGCCTGGTAGTGGCCAAACGAGGCTGTGCCCGAGTGGACAATTGTACCTGCGACGGGCTCTTCGGGACGTCTGTCTCTACGTCCAAGCCATGCGATGGGCATCTTTGATCATCTTTGTGTGGACCCAACCATCGCCTAACTGATCTATCACGGTCATTGACCAAGCACATCGTGCACCATATGACATGAATGCAATGAATGAGCACCTTGGACAACCTGTACACTACCAATCCACTTTGCAGGTTGAACTCCACTTTCCATCACTTTCCAGGTTGAACATGGATTACCCCAATCGTGCCGGGCACGCCCAAAAGGTCATAGACCACGTGGCGCTGGTGAGCTTCCACTGGGCTCTTCTGGTCGATGGACTGCCTGGGATGTAGCCACAGAAGCGCGTACAGAAGCGGTTTCCGCTCAGCCTTTGATTAGCACATCTGAGCAACACAAGACTGAAACCACATGAAACCACCTCTCATCGAATCGCCAATTTTTTTGGTAAAACTGCCAACGGCTTTCAAACTCTTCCCTCTCAGTGCGCCACCCCCCATTTCGTTTGGCGTTATAGGATTGTGCATTCTCCAGTGGAGACCCTCATGGGGGACACCAAGCCCCCCCCCCCCCGCCGAAAAGCCTGCAAGGACACCTTCACGTTCGGCAACCCTAATCCGAAGCTTGGACACTTCCCCCTCTCTGAGCCGAAGCTGTCCATCCCTTGGGCTAGACTCTAGGCTCTCATGGTCTTCTACAATGCCCCCGCCCCCCCCGCCCCAAAAAAGATCTTTCAGACCAACGTGTGAGGAAGGTGTCACCAGGGATCCTATAAATCTTCCAACAACTGGCAATCACCATGGCTCTAAAAAGCGCTGTGTGAAGACTCCCGAACGCTTTGAAACGTTTGGCCCTGGCCCATGCGTTCTCCAGAATGGCCCCAATGTCCCCTCACCAAGATCCACCAAGTGGCATGACCTCCGCCAAGCCTTCCGGGCTGCTCAGGAAGCTTGAAAGGTTCAAGTCTGCGGAGGCTTGGCCAGAAAGACTGGATCATGCAGGAAGGTGTATTTTTTAAAAACTACCCTTTGGGTACATCAAAAATCATCAAATCACCACCAGACCTCCAGGGCGTGGGCTCGATGCACGTTTTGGTCGGTGGAGGGCGTGGGCTCGATGCCTTAACTCGATGAGTTTAAACATGTTTAAACTCAACGGTTTGTCCTGCACATTTGCCCGGCCAGGTCGGGCGCTCTTCAGGTATCTTCACCACGCTGGGATGAACGAGCCAACACGCCTCTCCTCCTGGGGGATTCTGGGTCTTCCACGCCTTCCACCTCCTGTCACCGTTCACCCGGGAAATTCACCTCACAAAACAGAACATTCCCGAAAAAAACGCCCGGAGGGGGAGGTGAGGTGAGGGAGCCCACCTTCCAGTGGAAAGCTCATGGCATCATCCAGTCGATGTCTCCTGACCGGCCGCGGTGAAAGGGCTGGCCGTGGACGGTTTGCTGTCCAGGAATGGGGCAAAGGATGCACATGCGCCGGAAATCACCAGAAAATGGAGGTTCACCCATACACTTCACCCTGCCAGCAAGCAAAGCCAGGTATCCGCATATCCTATAAATTGAGGCTTGAGGATGATGATCTGTTCATTGTGGGCCCAACTTCCTGGAATTCCTCCTGTACACTGTATCACCTGCCTGCGCAAGCTTTGCCCAGGGCAGCTGAAGGTTTCAAACGTCAAACTGGTTTCACAAGGGCTGACATCATCTGGCTTTCCCTTCAGGCCCCCCCAATACACTTGAGTCATGGCTCTGCCCATACTTGAAGTCGAAACGCTTCAACTGCAGCATCAACACTGACCTGGGCCACTGGATGGCTGGATGGACATGGTGTGGCATACATGGACATGTACAGTAATATAAAGGTGTTTGATGTAATTAATAACTTTCACATTTCACTGAACACTGGTTTCATGTTACTATGTATGTGATTTCAGTTCCGAGAGTCCCTCGATTAAATCAATGGGTTTCACAACAAAATCTTTGAATCCGTGGGAAGCCGAAGCCACTTTGCACCTTGACTGCACAAAGCATACAAGGTCTTACAGGATTGTTGATGAGGCCCTAAGTATATAATCCCGAGTGCCGATTAAAAAACGGACCCCAATCAAAAAAGTCATGTCGGAACATCCTAAATACGGTGTATATGTGTGTTTAAATTACCGCCCTTTAAAGCCGCTACTAAACTACCAACATGGCCGATTTTGGAGGAGTTTGTTTTATATAGATTTATTTGGTTCCAAAAACAACCAATAAAGGTCTTTGTAGGGGAAAAGCCCTTTGATCTGGAGGTTTTTTTGAATTTTTGATACGAGTTTAATAAAGGATATAAATATAACATTTTCCTGGGTGACTTGTTGGTTTTGAAGCTCTTCCCAGGTGACCCTGTTTTGGACCCCCCCCCCGATTTCAGGGACACCCTATTTAAAAAAAAGCGACCGAGGTTTCCTTATTGGGGGGGGCATGTTTTTTGATAGGTGGACAGGATTAAGGCATGGACTCTGGGCATCTTGGTTTGGGTGGGAGAAAGGCAATAAGTGAAAATAACAGCTTGCCAAAAAAGGAACGAGGTGCGGCGTGACCGCCAAAGAAATCGTGCTGAAGGCTCGGACCTTCGTCTGGCAGCCGTCGCACCACAGAGCGTTGTCCTTTCGCAAAAGCTTGCAAAAGCGAAGGCCCAGCGTGTGGAAGAGGGAGCCGTCTGAGGGTGTTGCTTCGAAGCCAGCATCGATCCTGGTCACCCTTTTTTCTCAGGATTTAAGATTGTTCATGACCACCTGCAACAAATGATGTGTTGCGAGATACCTCCTGATGTTCACCAAGAAGCCCCCACCATTCTAAAACAGCTGGGACATGGCAATCTCCCCCTGGCGCCACCAAGGTGCCGCACGCGTCTTCCGCGCGGAGACGCGTCTTCCGCGCGGTGCCCTCTCCCCGACCTCGTCCAGCTGTTCTGTCTTCGTGAGCGACTCGAAAGAGCTTCGCAGGGTGGTCTCGGCCTGACATCCACAGTCTCAGCCAAGGCATGACTCCACCTTATGAGAGGTTATGGGTACCGCACTGGGACGGTCTATAGGGTT